CTCAGTTATGAAGCTACTCCAGGATATAAAAACTTCTATATTGCCAAGTTGGAGCTGGCAGGGTCGCACATTTCAGTGGCTCCACCATGCGAGTAGTTTTGGGGGTATCAGTGAAACAAATTGTACTTCTGAAAGTTAGTCCAGGGTTTAAACATCATTCAGAATGAAGTGCAGAGGTTCACTCATCACCTCAGTGGTGCACTGTGGGTTATCCTGTGCAGCCCCCTGGCTTGTTGAGAGTTTTTGAGGACTCTGCAGTTTCACAGCAGGAGACTTTGCTATAGTTCTTTTTGACCACATCCTTGGGCTTTTGCGTGGGCTGGGGTCTCTTTAGTGGCTTTATAGGATCAGAGGAAAAAAAAAAAAAAAAAAAACAGGTGAGAAAGGATTTTAAAGAGTTTTCTTTATCCATTTTTTCTCCCCCTCTAGCAAGATCAGCTATCTATCTTTATAATTTCTGATGGATGTTTGTTCTTTAAAAGCCTCCAACAGTGAGACTCTACCCTGCCTCAGGCAATCTATTCCATCCCCTACTTCCCTCACCATTAGGAAGCTTTTCCTGAAGTCTAACCCTCATATCTCTTGCTGTCACTTAAGCCCATTACTTCTTGTGCTTGCCACCTGGTTGTGGCAAACAGATTATTTCCTTCCTCTTTCCGACGACCTGTAAACAATTGATGGCTCTCATGCTCTCTCCAGTGCTTTTCTCATGTTCTCCAGTGTTTTTCTCTCCTCTGCCTGAACCAGCAGCTCCTTCATTGCCCCACATAGATCATGGTCTTTGATAGCTCTCATTTCTCTCCTCTGGAATTTCTGCAATTGTTTAACTTTTTTTTTTACTTTTTCCTTGTTGAGGTCCATTGCCCCCAGTGGGATAAAACTGAGGTTTTATTGATACAAGCTGAGGGAAATAAATCAGTTACCTTTGCTTACAGCTCATGACAAATTCCCATCATCACCTTACACTTGTAGAAAGATAACTTAAACTAAGACAGAAATTGGTGGGAAATTATTTTCTTCTTATGGTAATTTATCTGTTGTATTTCAGAAGATGCTATTAAAACTATTAAGTTTTATTACAACTCTGGTTCTTCCTCTAAATCATTAAATCTCTAGGACAGCTGGTACTGCTGAGATGACCACACCACATCAGTCCTGCTTTAGGAGTTGACATTAGAGTGGGTGCTGGCAGCTGTTCCCAAGGAGTCAGGGTGTCACTGGAATTACCCAGTCTCACAGACCCTGACTTTGACATTAGAGTATTTGGGGGTGGAACTGTGGTATTTTTGTCCCAACAAAGCAACAAGGTGGCTGATATTGGACTTCCAGATGAGCAATTGGGAGCCAGCTTGTCACTTTTTTTAACCTTTTTCTATTGTAACTTTGTTTTTGAGATCCTTTCATGTGCTTTGAAGGAAAGCAGAATTAGCCCTGTGCTGATACAATAGGGACATCTTCTCCCTGTTACTGATACCACACTGTTGCCCAAACACAGAGAAAATGAAATAAGAAATATCAGCGTGATTCCACTCCCTGAAGGACACCTGTGTTGGACCCCACTCTGAGTCTGACATAAAAGTGACAATGAGACACCCACAGAAAGGATGAAAAAGAGCAATCCAAATCTGGGCCCTGAGAGTATTCCTGATGGCACAGGGTGTATCTCACACTGTCTGCTTGGCTCTGGTGAGCACATGAGATGGGAGCTTTTGTTGTGAAGGGAGAATGGTGGGTATGAAAAAACAAGGACAGAGAAGAAACATCTTCCCTCTGAGGAAGTTCCTAACTGTGGCTTTTGACTTCAAAGGAAAGTTTGTAAGGAACAGCTGATGTTTACATGTGATGGAGAGCTTTGAAAAGTTTTGATGTGCTTTGGGTTAAACCTTCCTTGCTTCTTCCCAGTGAGGCCACGTCAAGGCCCTTGCCCAAGTTCGTCTCTCTGTGTCATTCCCTGGGCTGGAACCTCAAAGGCTTGGAGAGGATCAAAGAGCCTGTAGTGAAAACAGGTTGATTTTCCACAGCTTTTGAGTTTGGTTTGAGTTCTTCTACTAAAGCATAAAAATTCACAGAGGGCTATTACTCTCAAAGAAGGGAAATCGACTCTTTTTTTTTCAATGTGTGGACTCTGCAGCTGACTCCAACAGGTGACATTTTCCAGCTCTGAAGGTCTTTAATGAAATCCAAATTTGGTGTGTTGAGATCGAGGTCTCTCCTTCCATACTGTAATTTTTGGATGTAAGGGCTGCCTAATTGCACTGTGGGAGTCCTTTTAAAAAAACACCTCCTGACAGGGATGCTCTTTAAAATAGGCCATTAGTCTTGTGACAGTGCATCAGGGAATTTAGTGAGTTTGTTAGTGAGACAAACCTCACATTGCCTTGCTCAGGTTCTTTCCCTGTGAAATGGAAATTGGTCTAAGAAAATCAGAAAGGAGGCACCATGGAAGGAATAAACAGGGACACTGTGGGACAGCAAAGCATCTGGAGGGCTTTCAGCCCTGCATGTAGTCAGTGTCTTTTCCTTTGGCACAAATCTGCTGGTGGGTGTGAGAAATAAAGCCCCATGGCCTGAGATTCACTCAGTGGCCATCACAAAGACAGGTCTGAACCTAGAGAGAGATTAATTTAGGGAGAGATCCAGGTGCCTACACTTTTAATGCTGCTATGGATTCCCAAATTATCTGGGATGAACGCACAGGGCTTTTGGAGACCCAGCACTTCCAGAAATTCAGTGGGAGTTGCTTGATTATCTGAAGTGCTACCAAACATCTGAGCTTAGGGACCTGAATTGATCCTAGAAATGGCACTTGGAGACATATAAAATCTCCAAGGACAATTCAGCCCATTCAGAAATATCTGTAGAAAGTATAAATGTGAGGCGTTTGGAGGAAATGCCACACCTTGTACTTGAATTTGCCTATTATTGCAAATTTATGACTCAGTCCTCACATAGGGCTGGCCCAGAACCTTCCAGCCTTAGGCTCTGATCCTGCTGGTGATCTAGTGCAGATGACACAAGACAGGGACCGTAACAGTGTTGTGTAAAGAACAAAACTGGAGCACATTTGAAATCATCGTAAGGCAAAATGGGAAGAAACAAAGAAACATCACAATCACTTATAATTGTGCTAATGTAAAAATAAATATTCCAGTATTCAGGGCATGTTTTCACCCTGATCTACCGAGATTCAAACTTGCCACAAGACCTCAGGCTTCAATATTTTGTTATTTTTTCCTGTCAACTTTTCTTGCTGATAGCTACAAATACCTAGAAACCTCAGCAGCAGCATCAGCAAAGCACCGTGCTGTCCTCATGCTCAAGGGAGTGTGAGAGAAGCTGGCTGCAGATTGTGTTGACTGGACCACAAGAGCCCCAGCACATTTAACTTCAAAAACATGCTCAAGTGCTGTGTCAGCTGCCCTGCACACTGCGAGCTGCCCTGGCTGCCAGCTGTGCTCCTGGGAAGGAAGCATGGAAGCAACATCTCTGCCCTGTCATCTGGATGTTTTACTCATGAAGATTTGTCCATGGAAAATGTTCCTGCCCTGCCCAGTTCCACAGATCTGCTGCTGTTTCATACCCTGCCGTGCAGAGGTGTGATAAAACTGCTTAAAGGAAAAGGAGTTTTCTTGACTTATTGAAATCCCATGAACTGTGGGCTGTGTTTAAATTCCAGATTTTATTTGGATTCACCTTGTGGAGATTTCTTTTGATCTACACAAGGAATAGGACACTGAAAATTGCAGAGAGAGGCAGGAGGAGGAGGAGGATCAGCTTTGCAGTTAGATTTGACCCGAAGGACTGAGCTAACACATTCTTGGTGGTTCAGGTTTTGGTTATTATAAAGTTCTCACATAGGACAGGCTTTTTGGCTCTTTTTCACAGTGTACATGATGAGGAAATATATTTATTTTAGGTAAACACTTAGCCAGAAGGAAGACAACATGTGGTGTAAGGTAAATTATGCAGATAATGTTCTATTATGTGCACAGAGGAAAAAGTACAAGGGACATGAATTTCCCCAGGGAAACACCTCTCAGAGGGGAGGCTGGGACAACATATGAAATAAAATAAAGAAAGAAGAAGGAAAAATAAATTGGAAATAGTCAGTTCTGGCAGATTTTGCTTGAAGGAGACAGAAGACTGAATGAGCAAAAGATTGTTCTGGAGGCAATTCCTTCCAAAGAAAGTATTTTGTATTGACTGTCATGTATCCAGGTCACTGCTCCAGCTCCCAAGGATGGGATTTTGACCCTGCATGTATTTATGAAGCTTGGAATGAACGATTGGAAAGTGTGAAAATAATCTATTTAGAAAACAAGTAGGAGCATCTCTTCCTTCCAGACTTTGCCTTTGTTTCAAGGTGGGGAATGCAGGGATTTTTTTGTAGTTCTGGCCTGTTCTGTATGGACTGCTGAGGTCTGGCTGGAGCAATTCCTGTGGATTGTGTGGCAATGCAGGATCAGATCCAGCAGAGAAAGCAGCCCCTGGGCTGAGACAGGCACAAAGCACTGCTGAGGGTGGAGTAATAATTGTATTTGAACAGCAGAACACAGGGAGAGTCTCAGTTGGCAGTAACACTTAATTTCATCAGCAACAGCAAAAAGAGGCTTCTCTGCTGTATCTCTTGTTTCACCCCCAGGGCTGTGCCTGGTAGCAGCAGGTCTCAGAGCTGCTGTTTTGGATCAGCCCTGGTCCTGCCTGCACTGGTGCTCAGCTCCACTGCAGCTGCAGTCCTGAGGGGTGTGTGTGTGCTCTCCTGCACAATGGAATAGGCTGAATAGTGCTCAAGGGAAAAAACTGAAAGAATAAAATAAGTTGGGGGCTTTCCAATCCTTGTGATAGGTCCATAAAGTGGTAATCTCCAGATTTTCCTCAGTGTGTTCAGCCTCAAACTCTCTGACCTGGCTTTTGAGACTCTGGGATACAGGATTTCACAGAATATGCTGCAGCCATTGACAGAAATATAATTGTCTCTTCCCATGTGACTGCCAACACAGGCTTCACTGCAGATAAAAGAATGGGAAAACAAATATAAGTGGTGGAACCCTGTGGCTCTGCCTTCCCAGGACTGTTTGGGGTGACCCCTGTGCTGTGCACTGACCTCCTGCAAGCAGCTGCTTGAAGAATCACTCCCATGCCCTGAGCTCACAGGTACAGTCCCACATTGAGAAAACAAGCTTATCAGTCTTTTGCATTTGTGTTGACACCTGCAGTTTCAGAGAGTTTTTGTTTGTTTTCCCTGTTCTCCTCTGTGTATAATTGGCCAGATTGCATTTACTTTTTCTCTCTCTTGCACTAATCACAACTGCAGGCTGGAGTAATTTGCTGATGCTGTACAAGGAATTGTCTCTCCTGGAGACCTGGCTGGTGTGATCAGAACTCACATATGGTACCAGAACAAAGGGCCCTTCAGGCAAGTGGTTCTGTTTATTTTGGCTCAGGTCAGTGTTGCTCCTCTCTCCCTGTGTCTTCTCCTCCCTGTGTGCTGTGCACATCCTTTTTCCTCTGACTTTGGGGCTGCTGGCTCCTTGCTGTCAGATCTAGGGTGGCCTGGCTTGTGCAGCATCAGCACCACAGATTTGGGGGATGTGGGAGGAAAGTGTCCAACTACTGCTTGTAGTTAATATTCTGCGATGCCTTGCTTCCCTTTTCTCCTCCTTCCTTTTCACAGCTTGGAGGCCAAGCAAAGAAACATTCCAAGGCTTCCTCTCTGCTCCCCCTCCTTTTCTGGTTAAAGATATTGTGAGTGGTTTCATGTGGACTCTCATTTTTCATAGACACTATTGGTTCCACCATCTACAAATTAGTCTAATCCTAAAAGCTGTTATTGGCCTTGACTTATTCCTTATTTCCTTTGTAACACCTGCTGGCAAAGCTGCTGCTCTCCTGATGAATTTTGTTGGTCTAATTTTTGATAGCATACTTACAGCTAAGGCTGACAGCCTGTTAAAGCAGTGCCATCTCTGCATTTAGTACTTCTCTGCCCCCAGCTCTCATTTCAGCTAAGTATTAAGCATCACTCACCATGTTGCAAAAATCAGTAGCAGTTTGCAGTATTAGGAGGAAGAAAAATCACAGGTAGTAATGGATGAAAAGGTAAGCACTGAACATCAGCATCTTTGGTGGTTGTGTACTGCTAAAGGATAAAATAGCTGCTGTCTCCTACCCTCCTCCTGAGGCTTTCTCTTCTCGACAAAGGGGCACATATATAATGGTTAATGTCTCTCTAGCCTCAGTATCCTATCTGTGGGCTCACAGATTTCTTGTATTTGTGCTGTTATTCACAAATAAAAGGTTTCCAGGTTTTATTCTTGGCCCTTCCTGTGCTGTGTGTAACTGTATCTTCTTCTGCCATTTAGCAGTGCTTTAGAAAACAGCTGGTGCCCCCAGGGTAAACCTTTAAACAATGTCCTACTCTGACAAAATTCTGCTTCATCAGCAAACCATGTTGTGCATATTTCTCTCATTGTTTTGCAAATTGATGTTACAAAGAGCTTTTGCATTTAAACAGGCTCTCTCTGACCTAAGAGATAGTAAAAATTACATTAGAGATGCCACAGTAGCTTGTCACTGTGACCTGCTCTAAATAGCTGGACTTACTTCACTTGGATAAATCATTTATTTATAATGACTTATTATGTCATCAGAATTCTGCAGCAGAAATGCTTCAGCTTCAACTTACATGGATATTCTTTTGAAGGACTAATCAGAAGATATATACCATCAGGATTATCTGCTTTAAAAATACATTTCTAGACCGCACTGCCCAAACTGGGAAGTATTGATTAATCTATTCTGATTACTGTGATCATATAGATCCTCGCTGCTCACCCATTCTCCATGATCTCAGTTAGAAAGAGCTCTAATTCTTAATTCCTTTTTTTCCTAGAGCTGCATTTCCATGACTAAATTTGCAATTAGAGCCCAATGCTTCCAGACTTCCTTTGATAACTTAAGAGAACAGCATGGCGCAAAATTTTATCTCTCCCTCTGCCTTTTAACAGACTTTAGTGCCTCATTGTCTGTTCGGAGCATCTCTGTCTGCTTTGGATATGTACATGGTGCTTCCTGAACCTCAGAATTCCCTTTGTGCAGTTCTGCTAATGAAAAGCCAGCCACAGAAGATATTTTGTCCTTGTAAATCCATGGCACAGGGAGGATGTTCCTGTATTGCTTCCTGTCTGCTGGCACTGAGGTCAGTGTTCTGGCACAGAGCGAGCGATGAGCAGCTGCAGAGATCCAGGGATGGCCCCGCTATTGCTTCCTGGAGGGATGGATGGATGTGGCAGTAAGTGTCAGGAAAAGGAAATTGCCAGTCATGTTCTCTGTCCTGGCCATGTGCTTGTGGGAAAGGGTTGGCAGGTGGCTCCTATTCCTTCCATGGAGGATGGGAGTAGCTTTTTTATCTGCTAAATGTCTGCCTAAACAAAACTTGTCACAAAATATTTTCATACATGATTATTGACCTTAACCCCAGCTCAGCTCTGGTCTTTATGTCACACCAGTCCTTCTGCTGCTTTTGAGGGCTTTCTCCAGAAATTGCATTGAGAAACCATTTCTGCTCCTCTGGTGAGGGAGTAAAGACAGTGCCTCACAAACCAGGACACTGGGGAATGATAATCCCCCTGGTCCTGACCATACCCTGCATCCTTTGTGCACCTAAACACTTCTGAAAATGTTCATAATAACGTAGAGAAATTGTGACTGCAAGGGAATACTTGTGACCTGAGAGATGGTGTGTAAATATGTGAATTTTTTATTGTGTAGGCTATCTGTGTGAGGCACTGACTCTGGTAAATTCCTGTGGGCAAAATGGTGTTCAAAGAGCAGTGAAAAGCCAGCAAGTTATTGCAGGCAGTGGAGAGGATGGAGGTGATTGCCCATCACCAGCTGTTCTGAGTGGGAGCCAGGAATTTGGGCCAGCAGGGACAGCACTTGCACAGTGCCTGTGGGCCCCTGCAAGGATTGCTTTTAAAAGCTCTGTCTTCACACCTTTACAGACCAAGTAAAGTGGAGAAATAAATCACTATGCACAGTTGTCATTTTTCCCCTCTAAGCACCAGCCAAAGCATTTAAATATAGCTAAAGCACTCTGTATTTCCTCAGAATAAACACTTAGATACTCAAAATAAATTGCTAGGTCCTGGTATCAAAGGAATGATTTATAACCCAATTATACTGGGAATTTTATTCTCTATTGTTTCACTGATAGGTCATGGGTCAATTAGGTGTTTTACTCCTGGAGGAACACTTCCTCATTCCACCATAGAGTGTGAATTTGACACACTGGGATTTGCTCTGTCCATCTTGTGAACTACATCCAGTTTGTGGAAAAACTTTGAGAATCATTGTGCCAAGGTACAGGTCTGTAATTTTTGTACCTTTTTGTCTCTGTTTACTGCTCAGGGCATTGCCAGGAATGCAGAGAGTTCCTTTCTTGTGAATAATCTTCACCATCTTCTGTTTTCTCATCAGACTCTTGCAGGGTATGGAAGATGTTCATGGTGCAGCTGAGTCTGTAAGGTCACTGGGGAATGGATATTTTTGAGCCTTCAGAGGAGGCTGACAGCATCAGTAATGGGTCTTCAGCAGGGGCCATAAGCAGACACCTGGTGAAGAATAAGAATAGAAAAAACTTGTTTAATCTTCCTCCATAACATTTTTACTCTCTAAGTACAGTCAGCCCAGGATTTCCTAAGATTAATGTGATTCTCAGTGAGCTGCCCTGGGTTCCTCTTGCAGCTGCTTGTCCATTCTGCCCTTGAACATCCACAATTGTAGAACCACTGTGGAAAAGGCACATTGCTTTTAGAACAAAACCTGTTATCCCCTCCAATGGTACAAACCCACACTTACTCTAAAGCCTTTAGTTGTGTAATTTTTTGTCAGTGAAATCTGAACAAGGGAGAGGGTTTGACCAAGTGAGTGAGTGTAAAAGAGGAAATTCAAGGGGAAGCTATTTTATGATTATGCCTGTTAAATCTTGTGTTATTTTAGCAATGCAAATTTAATGGTACATTTTAATTGCCTTGTTAATATGGACTTTTCCAGTCCTGCATGTTATCTACATCCATGTAAGCCAGAAAGGGAATCCAGCCTAAGGGTTTTGTATCATCCTCTATTTGCTCCTCCTCCTTTCTTTTTACAAATTAGAGTAACAACGTCATAATCTTGAATAACATTATACTTTTCTATTCCTATAAACTACAGCCATGTTCTCTAGCCACAGGGATATCGAATCTGAAAGAGAAATAAAATCCAGCCCCAGTCCCATTGCTGCAGTGAGACCCCAGGCAGACGATGCTTTTGGTATTCTCATGCCCACGCTTTTTAGTTTCCTGGATGTGGCTCTTGGCATCCTGGAGTTGTTTGTAGTAAATAGTGTTCACTGAGCAAACTTGTCCCTCCAAATGCCTGACTCTCCTTGTTGCTCCTCTCCCCACATCTCGATTTTCTAACACATTGATACAACAAGCACTGCAATTATTAGGGCACCATATGGCACTCGGAATTACAGAGCAATTCCAGCATCGGTGGATTGGGTGAGTAGTCAGGAAGAATAAAATAAGCAAGGCAAGGCTGCTGGTGTGAGCAGAAGATGACTAAATCAGTGTACTCACATGGCAGAGAAGCACTAAGTTACGTGCGTGTACAAGCTGGACTTGGGGAATTTTTTGGTTTTGTTCTCACCCACAATGAAAAGGCACCCTGGGTTAGAAGGGTGCACTGAACTGCTGCAGAGAGATAAGTGCCCTTCATGGCACATCTCTCTGAAGATGATCTTTATTATACTTGGCTTCCCTCAGGTCGGTGAGTTCTCTAATATCTTCCTGCCTGGGATTGTATTGCCATTTACCAGTTATAATGGGTATTTAGTGTTTTCAATTATTTGCTACTTCATTGAGAGCCCAACAGTCATTGGAGCCATTGTGAGACTCTCAGTTAATCCTCTAAATAATAAAAGGAATCAGGGAGCATGTATAAGCTGTGAGATTTTCCTGGCCTGGCTGTCAGCTGGGAATGTGAGCAAATCATGCCCACGAGTCACGCTAACAAAAGCTTTAGGGCACATGCCAAAATACAGATTGTGAAGTATTCTTGGGTTGTATCTCCGGAGAAATGTTATAGCTGTGCTTGAAGAAGAGTCTTGTGGTGATGTAAAATGCATGTCCTTTATGGATGGTTGCTCATATGTGCAGAGTGTTGAGAATTTTGGTGTAGAAAACCCCACTCGATATTTTCTCCCTTCTAAAACATCTTCCAACTGAAACCCTTCAGCTGCTTGGATGAAGCTTATTGTCTTTCAAACTAAATAGCTGTTTTCATATTTGCACTAACCCTTTTCTAACAACGTGGAATAGACATGATGGATGCCACAGAAGGAAGGACACGTTCCCAGGGAAGATTCG